AGGGAGCGTGACGGGAACGGCAGGAGAGTGCGTATGAATGAGCAATGAGCGAGAGCTGCTTGCACGTGGCCGGCCGAAGCGGGAACGCGGCCGGCAGACGCGGCCGGCAGACGCCGCCGCCGCCGCCGTCGTCGAGAGCCGCGATTCGACACGGCGGTGGTGGTGATGATGTCGAGTGGAGCGTATGAACTGATAGAAGCTGGGGTAAGAAGAGTGCAGTGCATTTCGTTTTCCTCTTAATGTATTAATTTGACTCTTATTTCTACATTTCGTTAACACATCTACCCTCATCACAATCACATAGCCGAGTATTTCATTATCTGTTAAATTACTATTGTAAATATTCAACGCATACTTGCAATTCTATAAAAATTCATAAAACAGTATAAGATGCAGTAAAAAATGGGCAGGTGCCTAAATAAAATAAAACAATTTCGAAAATAAGGTCACAGAAGTCGGAATCCGAGTTCGTCACTATGATGTGATATGTGTAGTTGTGATAACTAATGGGTAAATCGGCGTCGCCGCGTCAGAGGCCGTGAAAGGTAAGGCAGGGCAGGGCAGGGCAAGAGAGCAGAGAGACCCGGACCAAGATGCGGTGGAAAGGCAGCTGCGGCCAAGTGCGGGGACTGACAGACCGTCGGCGAAACAAAGGAGCTCTTTTTGGCCTTCGCGCCGCCCCAGCTGAGAAAAAGAGCTCCTTTAGTCACGCGGCTCTGTTCAGCGTTTGCAGTCAAGACGCCGACGTTTCCTCTGCTCTTTTTGCTTTTGGGAACCTTAAATTCCGCCTCTACTTAGGTTTGTTAATACATAAACGATGCGATTTTTGTTTCTTTTCGATAATAAATATCTGAGAAATTATTCTTGTTGCGGCTGATCGAAAATAGTTTTTCGATTTATCGGCGTGAAATAATTATATTATTTGGTTATTTATTCAAAATATGTATTGAAAGTAGGGAAATAAATAAAATCTTGTTTTCCCAATATCTTACGCTACGTTAAAATGTATACTCAATGACTCTCTTCAGAGTTAAATATTACTTTATCGATGCCACATTAAGTTTCAGTTTCAAGACTAAAATCTGATTTTTGATAATTTCTTAATAACGATTGTTACTTAGTTTTAATAGTATGAGTTTATTTTGAAATAAATAAATTTGTTTGCCGAAAAAAAATATTAACAACCACTAACTACATCAAGTTCCGGGTAACTTTTGAATTAATTTTAATGTCTTGAAATTAATTTTTTCTGTCATGTTTATTATCAAACAATAGTTAAATAGTAACAACTTGCGATGATTTCAAGTACACGAAGATTAAATCAATTCCATTGCATTAGCACTGACATAACGCTTGAAATGCTAAAAAGTGATAACATGAGTAGAGATTTCTGTTAAACGTATTCAACTGAGAAGAGAAAACGTAGCCTGTAAATCATTTTCTATTTATCCAATAGGTACCTAATGATTATGTACCAAGATACATACCCTGATTAACAACAAACAAAAGATATTTTCAAAATAAATATTATATTATAAAGTTTTTTAGTTAACTTACCAGATAATTGAAGAATCGGATCCAATGCAGGTTCAAAGGGCGGCGACAGTGGCGGTGGCGGAGGCGGTGGCGATTGTGGGAGTAGAAATATCTTGTGTGATGGAAGTCTTGAAGTCTGTCGTGACGCAGATCCAGTGCCTTGCTGATGCAATGCAGTTGCAACTCACGCACATCAAGCACTCGAGTAATAAAGAAGAAAAAACAACCCTACGCGCACTAACAGAATAGAAACTCACACGCAACCGCGCACTGAACAAATTATACCTCTTTATCACAAGACTTTTGTTTCCGCCGTTTTTTTGAATACGCAATATAAAGGCTCACGTGCTGACTTGTAAACTGCAATAATCATGTACTGACCATATTCAAAATGTCTCCTTCTCATGTCTGAAAGACATGCGTGCTCCGTTGGATAACTATCTTCTCTGAAGAGATAATTGTGAAGAAAAAATCCTTATTTTTTTACACCTGAATATTTTCTTATACGTTAATTCTTTTATTAAAGTTTAAAATATCTACGATTTCTTTACGTAAAGACGAAACTTATTTTTTTATCCATTTTCTACTCTTGTTATTGTCAGTTGTCGCTTCATTCCTGCAACTCTTTTCAGAGAAAAAAGTTTCAAGTCTTGTTACAAGAGATCTTCAGAGATCGATCATTAAAAGTTCCATCTCTGTGGTTACAGGACACAAATATTTGCTCTAGCTTTTAAAATCTATTCCACTTTTAATTTTGGTAAAATATAATGATATTTATTTACATGTTAAGATTTTGATATCCAGATATGAAATGTAAAATTAGCTCGTAAAAGACAACAAAAACAAGGTATTTGAATGTAGTTGAATGTACAACATACTTTTTTGGCAAATATGAAGCTTCTATTTATCCAGTGAACCACTCAGCAAATTCCTCCAATTTCTTGCTATCGACGAAATTCATTTCTTGCTTGATTTATTTTGTTCATTCGCAAATAATTCCTCCAAGGATTTTCAGCAGTCTCAGCTAATATCATTCTCCAATACACCCATATTTCGTCTCTGCTTATCTGCAACAAAGAATAATTACAATCCCAATGAATTCGTGTCTGGAAGTCTCGACAACGTGGGCAGGGTGGCACCGACGGGCAAGACAATGTAACACATGAGGTCACCGTGTGTACACAGCGCCTTTGCCGCTAACCTGTAATTTAAATCAATAGCTCTGAGGAGACCGGGGTGGGGGGGGGGAGGGGCAGGGACCGCCCGAGCGTCGACACGCCTTGCACGCGTGCACGAGCATACGTAATTCGAGATTGTTAGGTGGCGGGGGGGGGGCAGGGCCTACGCGTCCCCCGCGTTCGCGAGACAGTTGCTCCAGAGGTCGTCACTCGGCAATGCTGGCATCGAACCCCGAGCCTTCGCTCTCCACGCTTGCGTCACCTATGCCCTCTCTTGGTTCATTTTCAATAATCCGCTTCATAAGGAATTCAACATTGTATTATTAGATCTGAACATCACATACAAACGTCCATCAGAATTTGCATCAAAGCCTCACTCACAGAATTGAGACTCTCAAAAAACTCAATTCATAGAACCTGAATACAAAATAAATATTAATTCCAAGTATTTTAAATCAAGTTTGCAACCTGATTACTGGACCTGTAGAGGGACACCTCCCCAATGTATAGTTTGTAAGTTAAGAATGAGTTAGTAAGAAATGAACATTGCGTATGTACGAAATTCCAGCATGGACTCTGAGCGTCGCCTCGGCTAAAAACATCACACTCGTAATGTAACATTTTTGATCGTTTTGATGTATTTGATGGTATCAATGGGAATTAAATGTATTAGGCTATCTTTTAGTATCTTTTTATTCGTGAATGTTTGAGTGTTAAACTTTTGAAGTTATTAAAAGTCATCAAGTCAAGATGTGCCAAACAATTTCGCAAATGGGGTTTGGATTTAAATAAATAAAAAGTATAAAAAATATAAAATTTCTCATTTCTAGGCATATATACAGAAGGAGGTAAGCTAGTTGCCATTTGAATTTCACACAACAAATTTAGTGGCCCAGGAATTTTGAGAAAACAACGAAATTGTTCTGAACTGTGACCACCACTGGTGCTTTTACCCCAGTTGTGAAAATAATATCAGAAAAATAGTTTCGTTTTGCGGAGACTATTTGCAGGATGGGGTTGGTTGACTTTGTGCCGAGGGAACTTTTAATTGAGAAGTGCCAACCACCCTCGAACGGGGATTATCATTAAAGATGGTTGTAGAGGCCACTAGGAGGTTCAAAACTAACAAAATTTATACACAAAATGAAGTGCTTATTTGAAAGTTTTACATGCGAAAGACAGAAACAATATTTTTCCTTACCGATATAACAGAAAAAATCAACCAAGGAAACATAACTCCCCGAACTCTAAAACACATTCGAGATTACAATTCCACCATCGTTGCACTGATCATAAAGGAACTTCTGTGGGAAGTTGTTAGGTCGTGAAGGACACGTGAAACAAAGCTAAGGTTACAAGACCCCTAAAGGAAACTTAAATGCCAACCCGACGCGGTCTCTCCAGTTATATAGGTGATTTCTTAAAAGTTGTGTTTTGAAAGTGATGCCATTTAAAAAGAAAAGTGATAGAACTATAACACCTGAATACTTGATTATTCCACCTTACCTTTATAAAATTACACAATTCCTGGTGTAGAGTGAATTTTCTTTTACTCGACTCGTAAAAGAGATAAATGTTAAGCTTCAGTGTATTATCTATATTGTCTCACCCAATTCTTCACGAAAGTAATGGTTTTGCATTAATTTTAGTAGTTTGCATATAGGAGCGAATGCATCTTAACGTTAAATATTAAAATTTCGTGATTTCCAGAAGCAAATTTAGTAAAGACACACAAGAAAATATAAACGACTTGAGGGAATGCAACATATGCGACTTGAGGTATTAGCAGTTCTTTACATGCGGGAATGCTAGCAAAGAGAGTAAAGAATTAAGAAAGATTAACTTGCAAAGAAGAAAAGATAGCACAATTGAAAATAACGTTAATCCAAAATAATGGGTAAAACGTGCCTTTTTATTTTCGTACAAATCATCTCCACAAATTAGAGATATGATTTGTGCATGTACAGAAGTCGTAAAAGATCTGTACTGTACATGCGAACTATATGTCTGCTGATAAATTTGTTTTTCGGATACCAGCATTATAAGCGACCTTTTCTGTTGCAAGAAATCATTCATAATCGGGCATTCTACGGTGAAAGTGATGACATATTAGCATTTTATAGCACGAATGATTGCATTATCACACATTTAGCCATTCGCAGCGGGAGAATTGTGGCGAGGTTGAGGTAAACGGAACACCCGACCACTGTTTTCTCGCATTGATGTTAAATTTTCGAGATGTCACAAGAAAGTTGTTTCTTAATATTAATATTAAGTTTCATTCTGTTATAAATTTATAATGATTACACAGAAGATAAAGTATACAACTTTTTTATATTGTTGCGTTATTGCATTCATACATATTTGAAAACTCGTTCTTAAAGTCGCTCTTTTTCAAAACATGTACTCGTTCAAGAAAACTTATTACTAGCATTATAAACTAATTGCTTGAACTACTATTGACTTTCCTTTTCTTTACACAGCTGCATTGCGCTGAATATTTGACCCGTCATTCAGTAATATTTAAAACAGCATAACTCTCTCCAGAAATAACACTTCAGTACGATGTGGCAAAACATCCTCGGATACCCAATTGAGCTTGCACCATGAAACAGAAACTCGTTTTGTGTAATGGCAGGCTATGTAATGAAGTGTACATAAATGCAGACTTGGTTCCCTCATCAGTGATCTGTATTCGGCCAGAATGAGGCAACAGAGCAATGAGGGTCTGATTGGGGTTGATTGAGCGGAGAGTATTGAGTGTTTGATCGGAGTATGATTGCAGGCGCCCCACATGAGGTCGGTCTTCCGTCAAAAAATTCACAGGAACCGGAAGTACCCAGGTGCAATGTTAATGTTGTTATTGTAAACTGGAAAAGTCAGGGTATCCCTGCACTCGATCGCCACACGTAGACCACACACTGACCTCAGATATTAACTTATTGAACCAAGGACCCTTAAACTCTGAGGCTAATGATGCAAACCAATCTTTACATTAAAACAACTTTCAGTAGGGAACATGATTTTTACCTCCAGAAAGGTAGAGTGCGCAACGCAGTCAATATTATATGTAGAGTACGAATATTACAATAAAATAGTCATATTACGCCACAGTTTTTAAATATATCTTTATATCACATTATATATTTTGTCAAATTATACCGTATTTTGGTGCCCTTACTATTCCTTACTATGCCCCTGTGTATGTTGCTGTGTTTCGACGAGAAAATCCACTTCCCAGGTTTGGAAGACTAGAATACGGCGTAGGGATGTCTACGTACTGATCACACGTACCCCTTAACCCATGGCCCCGAGGAACGCTCCTGGTTGGCCATGGCCCGTACGCGGGCTGTCGGGTAAGGTACAGATAGACAGAGACGTAGACGTACAGAGACGTAGACGTACAGAGACGTACACGTACAGAGACGTAGACGTACAGAGACGTACACGTACAGAGACGTACACGTACAGAGACGTACACGTACAGAGACGTACACGTACAGAGACGTAGCACGTACAGAGACGTACACGTACAGAGACGTGTACACGTAGCAGAGACGTACAACGTACAGAGACGTACACGTACAGAGACGTACACGTACAGAGACGTACAGTTACAGAGACGGTACACGTACAGAGACGTACAGCGTAAGGACGTACACGTACAGAGACGTACACGTAACAGAGACGTACACGTACAGAGCGTCAACGTACAGAGACGTACACGTACAGAGACGTAACGTACAGAGAACGTAACACGTTACAGAGACGTTAACACGTACAGAGACGTACACGTAACAGAGACGTACACCGTACAGAGACGTACACGTACAAGAGACGTAAGTACGAGACGTAGCACGTACGAGGACGTACGAGTACAGAGACGTAACAGTCGTACAGAGACGTACACAGTACGAGACGTACACGTACAGAGACGTACACGTAGCAGAGACGTACCGTACCGAGACGTACACGTACAGAGACGTACCGTACAGACGTACAAGTAGCAGAGACGTACCCGTACAGAGACGTAAACACGTACGAAGACGTAACGTCAGCGACGTACACGTACAGAGACGTACACGTACGAGACGTACACTGTACAGAGACGTACTACGTACAGAGACGTACACGTACAGAGACGTACACGTACAGAGAACGTACGTACAGAGACGTACACGTACAGAGACGTAACACTACAGAGACGTACAACGTACAGAGACGTACACGTACAGAGACGTACACGTACAGAGAAGTACACGTACAGAGACGTACACGTAACAGAGACGTATCACGTACAGAGACGTAACACGTACAGAGACGTAGCAGTAAGAGACGTAGCACGTACAGAGACGTACACGTACAGAGAACGTACACGTAGCCAGAGACGTACAGTACAGAGACGTACACGTACAGAGAACGTACACGTAAGAGACGTACACGTACAGAGACGTACACGTACAGAGACGTCACGTACAGAGAGTACACGTACAGAAGACGTGACACGTAGAGACGTACACGTACAGAGCCGTACACTACAGAGACGTACACGTACTGAGACGTACACGTACAGAGACGTGACCGTACAGAGAACGGTCACGTACAGAGAGCGTACAACGTAAGAGACGTACACGTACAGAGACGTCACGTACAGAGAACGTAACGTACAGAGACTACACGAAGGAGGTACCACAGAGACGTACACGTAGCAGAGACGTCACGTACAGAGACGTACACGTACAAGACGTAACGTACAGGCGAACACGTAAGAGACAGTACAGACGTACACGTACAGACGTACGTAGACCGACCGTACAGAGACGTACAGACGTACAGAGAGTACGTACAGCGGCATACAAGACGACGACGAATAGAACGTACACCGAAAC